CTCTCTCCACATTCAGAAATTAGAGTACTCTTTATGTAACCCATCATGTGGAGAGACAGATATATGAAGGAGACTGATAGTTTGTTATTTATATTCTCTGCAACAATGCAAATCATTATTTTATGCTATGTGCAATATAATTTTGCGTTGAAGTAAGATACATGTCTTAAAGGTAGGGTCTTTGCCTTAAATACCTGCTAATGAGACACTGTTATATCAGAACTTTGTATGCATGTTGAAATTATTTTGCACCGTACATAGCCAACCGTGCTAATCGGAGGTGTGGGCGATAGACAACAAACTGAACACAATAAGTATTTCTAGATAAATAAATAAAATTGCGTCGTTAAACCCGCCACCACCCGAGAATGGCCAATTAGTAAAGTTTGTCACGTAAACAAAACATGCCAATTAATTACTAGTTCAGCACACTGGTGTGTTAGAGAGTAAAGAAAGACCCAAATAATATGTATAATTCGAGTATGACGTTTCACCGGGAATTCGTTTGCAATCTCATATGAATAGTATATAACTCTAGTAGCTTCTTAATAAATAAACTTTACATTCATCTCCCAGTTTACTATAAACCTAAAATATAAAACCAAGAATAGTTGTGAATAAAACTGAGAAAATAAAAGAGTAATGGGATACACAGCAATGCTCAACGTCAAGATTTACTGAAACTCTCGTGGCCTGTGTCGCAGTCATGGAAATGAAACCAATTGCTATGGTTCATTAAAGCAACGCGAACGACATGGAAAGCAATTTCAAACGCTCCGTTTAAACACACACAACCTCAAATATTTTACAATGGCTGAATGCCAGTTCAGTATTCTGACTGATCATGTGTTAAAAATCACCAGACAGCAACCCCAAAATTACACCTGATCCTCAATGTTAGCGAGTTTGTCGTCTCAGCTTGGTAACAAATGACTGCACAAGAACAACATTACATTTGCACTTTTTTATACCCAATTTGGCCTTTCTCAGATTTAGGAATAAATGTTTCCAATAGCTAAAGATCACTTACTCAACTGCATAGTGAAACGTCATATTCCTGAGTCTGCAATACATTAGATATTTGGTGAATGTTTGGTGACGGGTCTTTTTCAGAAGTGGAGTTTCAAACAGGAGATTGCCTTTGTCCTGTGCTTGTCGATACTATAAATGGGATATACCGTAATTGGTGAAAACTTAATGAAATAACAAAAATATGACTCTCCAACTACAGTGCTTTCCTACTGGAGATGTTAACTGCCTCGCCTGGTATGTAGGAGGTCGTGGGTTCGATCACGACCCTGACGTATGTATATTTAGAGTTTGCATGTTCTCTCCGTGGTCGCATGGATTTTTCTCCGGGTCCTCCGATTTTTCACTCCACATTTAGAAACATGTGTTTAGAGTATTTAGCTGCTGTTAATTTCCACATGATAAGCAATCTTCGCTGAGCTCTCATTTGTGACCAGGTTGCTTCCAAAATAGAGTTATATAGCTCAGTGGCCCTTACCTTGTAACAAATAAAATAGTTTATAGTTTACTCTGCAAAGATCCACCCAATGGAAAACTTTACCAGAGTATGTAGCCCACCACGACAGGGGGACGCTTTATAATTCCACGCAGTATTTCAAAGTTGGACATGTTATTAGCATATAAGGCATATAATGGCACCGGCTGAGTGCTGAATTCCCGATCGGGTGATTGACAACCTGCCGTGCTCAAAGCACAAACGTATGACGGCCCCCACTTACTCCACGTCGTTCATGGCATCTTTTTTACCGTACTTCACCAGGCTGGTCACTTTGGGTTACTTTTTATTTACCAGGTAAGGCCCCACTGAGCTATACAGCTTTTTCAGAACCTGGCCAAAAATGATAGCTCAACGAAGTAGCTTATCACGTTGCAAGTAATAACAGCAGCCAAATTCTCCAATGAAGGGGGGCGGGGAGGGCATGACTGCTTCCGATATCACTTGCCACTGATGTTAGCCGTGGCCAGGAATCGATCATCTACAGCGTGTTTATCCAATGCATAGACTTAGAGAGTTCAAACATTTTGCTTCACTTTGTTAGGCTAGAACAGTGGTTGTTCTATGATGGACTGGCTCACTAAAGCAAGGTGGAATTTCCGTGAAAGGACAAGCCCAATGGCAGGGAACCTCACACTCAGGTGACTGTCAATATATTGATCTATGACTTTTGCACAATTTCCAATGTCATAATTTTTTTTAAGAATAATTTTCTGTCATACCACACACAGGGACATTGTTCCAATTGCTTTCACACTTATTGTGCTCGATTCATTATACAAAAATTATATATAGATTCATATATTTTCTTAACCTACATAAAATTAGCAGATGTGTGTAAAATTTAGATTTTGCTAAACGGCATATACTGCATGTATTTTGACACAAACTTATAATTTAAACTATTTCACAACAGGACATATGCACTTTGCTAAAAAGTGCTGTATGTTTTGTGGTCACAAGGAAATGGCATTTACAATAAAAAAAACTTAATGATCATCAGCCAATTTCTACTCACTGCTGGATAAAGCTTCTACCCCCAAGCTGTTGATATCTCTCACAGCGCCCTGATGCAACAATCAATGGAGCTGCCGCACAAGAGCTGAGTCCTCATGGTGCAACGAGTCCTCATGGTGCGGCAGTCTGGAACGCTCTTGCTTCTGATATTAGGAAGAGACTGCAGCTATCCACTTTTAAATCTAGATTGAAAACTCATTTCTTTAGAACTGCTTTTCGTGTTTAGTTTATTGTCCTTCCCCCCGCACCTCACAGCACGGTTGGCTACGTACGGGGTGAAAAAAGTTCAACATACATACATATGAATTCAGTTCCTGGCGGAAAGAGAGATCAGAATGTGGCATTTCATCATCTTCAATCGGCGGCGTGCATGCAGAAGCGAGACCGATTGTTGCAATGCAGGATCGTGGGAAATGGCGAAGGCTTTGGGGGGGGGGCCTTCATCCGGCAGTGGATAGATCATGGCTGGTGATGATTTCCTGTTACTAGGTTTAGCAAGACGGAATTGATTTTTTAATCAATATTTTCATGTCTGGCACTAAAGAGGGAGGCAATGCTTAGAGAACCTGATTTTGTCTTCCCATAATTATCAATACCTAAAAAGAGGTCAACTAAGAGACTGTGGGAGCCGTTTTATTGAGTACCATGAATATACAAATAAATATGCTCTTTGGTCAAGGTTGTTCATAAACAAGGCTACATGCGGTGGCTTCAGAAAGGACACCAAATGATCTGACTAAGCTAATGAATTCCTAAGCTGTACATCGTTGGTCATCCACAATAATTGAGCAGCATTTGGTTGCATTTCAATAGAGCTGCTTCCAACACTGTTCAAAAACAGGGAACTACTAAAAAATGCTATAAAATGTTGCTCAAATGTTATGTATATATTTTGTGGTTGGTTGCTGACATGGCAGACTATTCTGAGACTGGGATAATGTCTCAATCTAAATAAGAACCTTATTGAAAGAAACGGGATTGAAATAATCGGATATTTATTTTGAGAAGAAAATATCAATTTTCCATGGAGAGTCCTTCACCAACACAAATAATTATAATCAATGTCACTTACAAAGGATATGACACAAATACGTGAAAATGACACATACATAATTTTAAGAAAGGCTATGATTAAAAAATCTATTCTCCAGTGGCATGCAGGTGGAGAGGATGAAATCACACGAAGATGGAGACAGGCTTTCCACCTTTTACACTGTAGGCCAAAGGCCAGAAATGTTTTTCAGTCAGCCCAGGTCTAATATCAAAATTGTGCAGTACAATGCAATAAAGTTCAACACAATAAGAGACCAGATGCCATTACAAATCAATACCTGCCACCCAAACACAGATGCCAAATCCCAGACTGCCCAGGTCAAATTTAGGTTAAACCTGGGCAGGTGGCAACCCTAGATAGAGCCTTTGTAGGGCCCCTATCTGCAGGTAAGCAGGTGCCTGTAAGAGACACTACGACAGCTAGGTCGCTGTCTTGTCTGTACAAAGTTGGGAGTGTTAGCCTCATATCTGCATCACTGCTTTTCTCCAAGTGCTCTGATATCCTCCAATATTACAACAAAATATTCAAGTAAATAAGCAATTGACTAAAAGTCATAAGCAGAACCCTATTGAGAAAGGGCATTGTAACTGGTTTTCCTTGGTAACAAAAATATTTTTGCTATCACTCAAAAGGTAACAGAGAACAAATTAATCGCACTGAAGAATAATGAATATTTATACAATATTCACTTTAATAACAAGGGGAAAAAACAACTGCATTTCAGCAAAATGTCACAAAAGGAGTGATGAATGAATGTCAAACCTGATTATAAAATGACAACTAAGCAAACAATACAGGGGACAACCAAAGTGGAAATGGATTGGTCAAATCGACTCATTTGTAAAGAATATGGACTTAAACTACAAAAGACTGGCATCGAGATAAATGAGCATTCGAATATTTTGGATAGATATCGTACAATGACAATGCTGATATTTGTGGATATAAACCCGAGGTTTTTAGACGCTTGTGGATGACACTTGAGAAACACGGCACATTACCCGCTGCTCATCCATAATACAACGTGAGCTTTATTACATCATCGTGCTATTCAATTATATTTATTTTAAATTGGTAATTACCATCACTTTAACAAAGCATATAATTAACTTAAGTACGCAATAAAGTACAAAGATAACTTAAAATGTGTTTAATAAGCATATGTAATATTCCCTCTTCAAATGCCCAGGTGGCAAGTATATTTTGCCACAAGGGCAAGTAATAACGTAAAGAAACTATCTCTCCCAAAAACCTATTTTCATATTGCCATGAATTTTTAGCCAATATTGCCAACACAGTACATTTGAATGTCCCACAGTGCACATGTTACTCGAATTACAGCACATTTCAGTGGGTGGGTGAGTGCAGATGGTGAAAATGTATCTGTAAAAAGTGAAAACTTACTGCCAATGTCCGGTCTCAGATTGTTATCGTAGCCTTCCAGAAGCGTGTTGAGAATTTGGGTGACGTCGCTTTCGTAGACTTTGGGGGCCAGGACCCATGTCTTGTTAGCGTTCATATCCTGGAAATCATCCTCTTCAATCTTGCCAGCGCTACAACCAATTACACCAAAGGCATCATATAGCAATCTGGGTGATGCAAGCTTTTAATATCACTAAAATGACTCCACACCATTAGAATGCCCTCCCCACACAAACCAACACAAAATCAAACCATATCCCACTTCCACATGTCATGCTCTACACACAGCATCCGCTATGCATCCGCTGTACTTTTAAATATGTTCTGCTTAATGTTGCCTCTTCACCAGAGCCAGTGATTTATTAAATGACTCAAAGGATACATGGTGCCGCCCATGTGAAAATGGTTCATGGTTTGTTTCGTACTTCTGCACCCCATCCACATTCTCAATATCCGTCTGCCGCAATATTTTACACATGGCTTGCGGGGGACGTGTAATCAAACGACACACCGTCTTTATATATACACATATCGAGTGATAATTGACGTGATGTAAAACACGTAAAACAAAATGACACGGGACAATAAACAGCCACATTTGACCTAATGTTAGATGTAAAGTATCACGCAAAGGAAATTAAGTGATTAGGAGAGTCAATGACCCTGACTAAGACACCTACAGAGTGGCCAATAAAAGTTATCAAATCGTTTCTTTTTCGACATTTCAATTCCCTTTTATGGATGAACAGTGGTACTCTTGCCACCGGGTGCCAACAGTGGTTGCCCTTAGCAAAGACTTGTCCCTGCCAGAGGAATGAGGAATTACCACCACTGGCTCGGGTTTGCCATTTGAGATTTGTGGTGTCCAATGTTTGAGAATGGGCAGAAGTTTACCGTGTTATATATTTTTTGCCACTTTGTAGCTGAAATTAATTCCCACTGAAGGACGAAATGAGACAGAATGGCAAGCTAAAGATGGGAGGGACCAAAGATGGATGACATGAATGCATCTCCAAAGAGCAGACAGAGCGACAAAATCAAAATGAGTAACCGGAGTTTACAGAATTATCGGCAGTATTCAGAAAAAAAAAACCGTAATGATATACAGTATTCAGGTTCAACTCTCCATATATACTTGGAATTCTAGGCATTGTGAGGTTTGAATTAGAAACAAGGCTACACTGTGTTCAGATTCATTTCACGAAAAACTAAAACAATGAACCACACTTGCATGAAAAACATAATTTTTATGCGAAATCCCATGTTCACGTTGACGCATGGAATCTCCAGAAAAATTAAATAAATCATACGCTGCCCAGACGTTCACCATCGTTGGTTCAAGTAATCCTGACTGCTGGTGAGACGCTCAATTTTAAAACCGGTCCGCAGTTTTGCACGTGTTGAACCAAAGCTGTTGAAATTACGCACTCCAAAAAGGCAGTGAGCTGATAGGATGTGCAAAAATATTTACGGCTACTTTTTTTTACGCGGTAGGAGAGATACGAGGAGGCGAATTGTTTGCTTGTTCGCACTACAACACTGGGACTGTGCACGACCACGTCACTCTGCGCTGCAGGAGAACTGCCAGATAATACCATGAGCTCTTTTGTACATTATACTTCAATGGTTATTGGAATATTGGCGACATTTTGACGAGGACTTGGTCTGATATGCCTTGTGATCATTCCCCCTTTTTTCACCATTATATATTTATTTTCCTCATTGCATGCCTCATCCCCCAAAAATGCTTTTCTCTTCCAGCCAATTACTGTGCCTCAATTTGTTGGGGTTTTTTTCTGTCCAATTTCTACCGTTGATTTGGGTAGATTAAATTCCACCGAAATAAGACTTTCATTTAGAAAGCACAATGTACTGCTAGCCTGGCCCTTTTCTCATAATATGGCAGACACCACATAATACATACCATAAATCCCAATGAAGGTATGCGGCCATCACATACAGTGGTATGTAAAGGCTTAAAGCACATCTGTACCACAGCAAAACTGTTGAGCAATTTTTCTCCCCCATGAAATAAATAGGTAAACCAATGAAAGCCCTATTTTTTTTATTCAAACCTTACAATGGAATGTCCACTTGAGTGATCCAATTCAAATCTAATCACGGTCATCACAGCACAATAATGCACGATTCCTTACGAGCACCAGGCTACATGTGAAGCTCTTCTCTATATATTGTCTAGACAATACAATACCGAGTCACATCTACAAAAGACAATGCACATATGCCAAAAACATATACACTTTTGTTTTTTTCAACGGGTTTTTTTGTATATAGAATTATATTTACAGTCCGTCAATCAACTGTAGGATGAAAGCCTCGCCGCACCGTGTGCCGGTTGCCCATACTTCACAGCACGCTGTCCAATGCGGGGTTGTTGGGCACCACCAGTTCTGATATCACTCACCACTGATGTTAGCCACGGCCCGAAATCGAGCTCAGGCCACCGAGTTCAAATCGCATTGTGATAACCACCGCAACCCCCCCCCCTACAACACCTTAGATTACACGACGCTGAAATTCCCAGATTGTTCCTGCAGAGTTGGTGACAATGATACCGCCGTTGAATGTCAATTCATGATGTCAATGTGGTACAACAATGATCAGATTTCCCTCCATACACGCGTCCTGTGAGCAGTGCCCCAGCGTGCACACACACAACATGACCACTCCAAACGCTGCCATTCATGTGTACTATGTGTATATCACACACACGCGCACCCACACACTCATGCATGCACGTACACATGCATACAGCGATGGTCTTAGTAATGACTACACCACGGATACGACTGCCGCCATTCCCACACAGTGTGTCACAGCATCTCCCGATTTCAATTCTGAATAATAATAATGACGATGATGACGATGAGCCATCGTGATGGCAGCACTAATGATGAGCGCGAGGGTTGTGGATGTAGACTGGCGATGGATGACTCGCTCCTGTGAGAGAGAGGAAAGAGGAGGGGGGTGGGTGAGGATCGTGAATGTGAATGGAATACGGCGGCATGACATCCTCACCAGGCGTGCAGAGACAGCAGTATGAGAGCCAAGAGGAGAACGCGCCTCGACAGCCGGGGAGGAACCGCAGCCATTCGCGACGCCACGGTGGGGGAAACCCCGGCGACATCCACCACCTCCTCCTGTGGCATCGTCGTCGTCTTCTCCCTCTCCTTTATTATTCTCCACCCCTCCTCTTTGTCCTGCCGGGCTGGCGGGGCCAGGAGAATGGGCTGCCACTCCGTGTAGTCGGTGCGGCCCCAGAATATAAATGCAGGACACTGCTGCTGTTGAGGAGGATGATGATGTTTTTGAAGATGCTGCTGCTGCTGATGATTCTGCTGCTCCTCTCGAACAGGTCTCCGTCGATCCTGCTTCCAAATCTGCTGCAACTCTTGACGATTATATTGATGGCGTTTTTCATGATGGTGATGAAATTGGTGGTGATGGTGGTGGTCGTGATTGTGGTGGTGGTGGCCGTGATGGTCGTGAGGCTGCTGCTGGTGCTGCAGCTGCTGCTGTTGCTGATTGTGACGACGGCGGCGCTGGATCTTGGTCCATCCCGGAGGCTCCCGCATGCCGACAGACCCGGGCCGCCACCCCGACACCAGCCGAAACGCCATCATCACAATCATCACAGCCCGGCCATCACAGGCAGAGACCGCCGGCTCCAAGCCACATGCACACCCAACAGCAGCAGCAACAGCTACCAATTGTAGCCCGAGATTATTTAATTATTACTCCTACTACTATGATTCTAGAGCCCTGCTTTATATTGTATGATTGCTGACATTTAATATAACGATACACCCTATATCGCTCTATTCATGTAATGTTGTTACATGCGTACAATTTGGTGATTATTCTTATTTGTTTAAATGTTTTACAATTGCCACTCCTTTTGCGAAATTTATTGTTCAATTATTAATCACGGGTTTTCATCTATGGCACTGGGAGTACGCTGTATTCATATTTGAGATATATATTTTATTTAACACATACCATTAAAGCCTGTAGCTTCCTCCATCAATTCGACCGAATCGTGCATTCTAAGACAACCTAAACTGTTGTGTCATTTAATTACAATTGTATCATTCCAACCATTGCCCCCCCCCCTCTTTTTTTGCCTATCTTCTGAACAAACTACCTTCTATTGTATCCTGTGGACTGACGGTTTTATCTGCGCCGCCGATACCCGGTGGGAATGGGGGGTAGGGGGTGGGGTGCTGAGAGGATGGAGCGGGGTGACAGGGCTTGCGATGAGGAGGAGGGGTTGATGGGCTGATTTTTAGGATAAAAAGAAAGGAAAATAACACCGATAATAACGAATAGAAATACAGCAACCGCAGGGAAAGCAGAGAGAGAGATGTAGCGAGAGCAAGCGCGGCTAACCTCAAAATCTGCAATAAGTGCTGGCGCGCCTACCGGCATACAAATGATCCACGCGTACCCTTTATTTGTTTAATTCCTCGCCAAAATCGCAACTCGCGTTGACGCGACGATCGAATGGTATATATATAACCAAACGGAACAAAATTGTCAAGGCGCGTTCCCTGAAGGAATAAAAACAAAAATGGAGAGAGAATTAAAAAAAATTAGCGCAATTGGAAAAAAAACAATTTGAGATAAAAAAAAATAAACGGTTAACAAGAGGAGACAGATAAAGAGAGGTAAGAAGAAGACGACGACGAGGACGACGACTCCCGCTGCTTGGTGTTTTTTGGCTCGCGTCGCGCGGTGGACGGAGACGGCGGCCGCATCGGCTCTCTGTGCGCTCCGGGAGGAGGAGCGGGAGGAGGAGGGGAGGTGGTGGTGGTGGAGGAGGAGGAGCGGGAACGTGGAGGAGGAGACCCCACGCGGCGCGGCCGGCATCTGCTCGTGACATCACGCGTGCTGACGTCACCTCGGTTACCATCAGCACCATCACCACTACCACCACACTCACACCACTCAAACCAGTATCATCAGCACCATCACCACTACCACCACTCAAACCAGTATCATCAGCACCATCACCACTACCACCACACCACAACTAAAAACCAGTATCAGCACCATCACCACTACCACCACACTACCACCACCAATCAAACCAGTATCATCAGCATCATCACTACCACCACACTACCACCACTCAAACCAGTATCATGAGCACCATCACCACTACCAACTACACTACCACCACCACTAAAGCCAGTATCATCAGCACCATTACCACTACTACAAAACTACCACCACCACTCAAATCAGTATAATCAGCATCATCACCACAACCACACTACCACCACTAAAAACAGTATCATCAGCACCATCGCCACTACCACCACACTATAACCACCACCACTCAAACCAGTATCATTATCTGCAGCAACATATGTAGCAGCTGCAACAGCACCCTTTTCGCAGGGTTCGTAAATGAAATAGATGCAGTCGCCACAGCGGTGGGGTTGCAATATGTATTGTATTGCCTGCGTCACAGATCTCCTCCCTCCACACGAAATATGAGGACTGTTCCACTTTGTGTTTGTCCTATCGATGCACACACACCCCGCCATGAGAATGTGCGATTCCCATTAGGGCTGAACGATTTGGGGAAAATATCTAATTGCGATTTTTCTGACAGATATTGTGATTGCGATTTGATTTGCGATAAACATTTTTTTTAAGTCAAGCTTCAGTTCAATATTCACTGTGTAATAGATTTAAAACATGTGATGGAACATTACCGCATGATACCATCAAAATATGAACTGCTCTATGTATTCTAATGCAAGTGTAGTGAGTCCAACTGAGTCGCAGACGTTGTCTTGGGAGCAACACTATTACACCAACTCAACACACATCATAACGTAACCTACACTTGGGTGTTGAACGCCCATCTAACCATGCTACGGCAGAACTAGACATGGTGCGCAATCCCAATCCGGACCACGAGCTGGGCCCCGGACCAAGTGGCTAGAGGCTTCTTCAACCCGACGTGGATCTTCTTCACCAACAACCCGAAAAACCCCAAGACCCTCACGGGGTCCCTGTTAAATCGGCCTGGGCTGGGGCTGGCTCCGCCCCTCACCCTGTCCACCTTCGAGATCTCTCGAGCTCTTTCCCGAAGGCTCCTGAGAGCTCCTTTATACCACGTGACCGCCCAGAGGCCCACGTCCACCGGTGGCCCCCCTCCAATATCATCCGGTCATGTGTCGGCAGGTCAACCAGCGTATCATGCCCCAATGTAACCCTGGCTGGTTGACACTCCCTCTCGCTCCCTCACCGTGAGCCCGCACCGCACACTGTACGTGGTGCCTCCACGCTGACCAGCGCTCAAGCCCTGCTAGGGCTGGTACTATGCCCAGTAACCGGGCTGCACATAATGACAACATATTATCCGCTGTGGCTTCGCAAGCCAGGCACCACACAGTGACATTCACAGTCACTACACAAGGATGAGAACTTAAAATATATGAATTGCTCCCAACATGTATTTATTAAAATGTATTAATTGAAATAGAACAATCAAATATATAACAATTGCTAACAATGCCAATAAGAAAGTAATAGGACTTTTCAAATCACAAAAAATTGCAGCCTTTGCGATTTACTAATCGCATTGTTTCAAATTTCGATTTCTTTTCGAAATCGTTTTATCGTTCAGCCCTAATTCCCACCACTGGCGCAGGACTATGAAACGGAAGATGATCACTGTCCCAATGTTAATTTAACCAGGAAATTACTTTGACTATGACATTAAAAGTGTTTTTTACACATTCCATCAGCAACCCAGCCTTCCTTGGGAGTACATCATTTCTGCAGCACTAGTGCTATTTTTGAACACAAACCCAACTGTGGATCAGTTTTGACATTCAATTATCTCACCAGTAGAATAGGGCTCACTTGAACCAATGGTGGTAATCTGCCAGATGTTTATGGGCAAGGGCCCTGTCAGATGTTATAAATTGGCCCTAGAAGTGGGCATAGATATTGTCACCGCTGGCCAGAGACCCCCACTCCATCCACCTCACGAAGATTAATTTTAAGGCACGGATAAATACTGTAACTTTGAATCCAACTTGACTAGTGAGCGGCCATGTGTGTGTACAGAGTAACGCAGAGCATCCTGTTAACCAGGAAACGTGCCCTAGAAGCACACGCACTGCGAGTGCAGCACCACAAAGTTGCCGGCACTGCTCGCGAGGCACTCCCCGGGGGTGCCGCGGCGTTGGAAGGATGCCCTGGTGGTTCCCGTTTTTAAGAAGGGGGGCTGCACTAATTGCAACAACTACCGGGATATCTCCCTCCTCAGTGTGCCGGGAAAGCTCCTTGCTAGAATAATTCGACATCGCCTTACCAGGCAGGCTGTGGAAACGCTTGCAGAGCCCCAATGTGGTTTCAGACGAGGGCGGTCCTGCACGGATGCTATTTTCTCTGCCCGTCTGCTACAGCAGAGGTGGAGAGAATTTCAACAGGACCTACATCTTTTCTTCATTGACCTGGTCAAGGCCAAATATACCATCAATAGTATGCTCACCATCATTACGGACCTTCATGATGGTGGGCAGGCTCGGATAAAGTTGCGTGGCCAGATGTCGAAGCCATTTTTTTTCACCTTAGGGTGCAACAAGGATGTCCTTTGGCTCCCACATTATATAACATTATCTGCGACCACGTAGTTCAAGAAGCATTCCATGGCTGTACCAGAGGAATTTCCATATGGTACAGAAACAATAGGATCGATGCCCGGATGTGGTCAAGGGATGTCTCCCTATTGGTTAACCGTATGTATGCAGAAGATCTAGTGATTATTGCAAACCCTGAGAACAAGTTGGAGACGCTTCTGCTGAACCTGGAGCATGCTTCAAAGTGATGGGGCCTTACAATCAGCCGCACAAAAACGAAGCACCTGCTTTGGTTTTTTATGTCGTCAAATGCTCCACCCTCTCAACTCCCAATGAGTGATGGTGCAGTTTTTGAGAGACTGGAGAAGTTTCCGTACTTGGGTTGTGTGCTCATGATCAGCTCCAGTTTGACAGCCGAGGTCTCATTCCGAATCAGGCGAGCGGCATCTTTGCATCAGCTGTGCAATGCTGTGTGGAAGCTGCCTGGTATGTCGCTCCATAAAAAGCTCCAAGTTTTCTCGACCAGAGTTATGCCCCATCTTCTCTATGATTGCTAAACGTGCAGCCCTCGAAATGAACATCTGCACCGGTTTGAAATATTCAGTCTTGCATGCCTACGATCCATCCTGGGTTTAACCAGGCTGGATTGTGTGAGGAGATCACACAACCTTCAAAAATCGGGACACATTCCCATCTGTGAATCCCTCTGGCAGGCAAGGCTGCATTGGCTGGGTTATGTATCCTGCATGCCCAGCCACCGCATGCCCAAGCAGCTTCTGTTTGGTCGGATGGAGGAAGCTAAACGGGCACGACACAGGCTGCAAAAGAGATGGACTGATGCAGTGCAGGTGGATGTGGAGCTGAGTGGACTTGCCGAAGACCGGTACCAGTGGTGTCAAAATTGGCCTTAATGGAAATGGCTCGTGAAGGACGCTACTGGGTAGTTGGAGGCAGTCGCCCTCCAACAACAGCGCAGGGCAGAGGAGCAACAAGCAGAGAGCCAGGTGGATAAAATACAGCAAGTTTGCACAGTAGGGGGCAAAACTGGTGCATCTGCTAGTCATCTCAGTTAACCCATGGCACCTGGATCTGTCCCGTGACCTGCTGTCAGCGAGCCTTCGACACTTAACGTGGCCTTGGAGTGCACCTGGCCTGGCACAGGTGCCGTGATGACGTCACCACCACTTCGTGGCGAATGTCGGCTGTTGGAGCGGCAATGCAATGGTAAGTGCGCTGTGCTACCAACCCGGTCACCCGAGTTCGATTCCCACTCACGACCATCACCAGTCACAATTATATAAATCAGTATCTGGTACTTGGTGCAGTATGTAAACATCCCCACTAGAGAGTCAAAGTTGGCCGAGCGTGGTGCCGGTCGCCCCGTCACCAACCCCCTCATGTGCTGCTCTCACCTTCACAGGCGTTGCTCCGTAACAACACTTGCCCCAACAAGTCTGTTAATGGGGGGGGGGGGGGGGGGGGGGTCTTTGTCAGCATTTATTATGTTACATGCAAATGTACAACAATGCTTCCCGTTTATGTTGAACCGTAGCACATTTTATAACACCGACCGTATGTGCATTTAAATGATGTACGTTGTGGTGTTCCGCCTTACGAACCATTCGACTTACGAACGGGTCTCAGGAACTGAACTTGTTCGTAAGTCGAGGACTGTCCGTTTATGTGTCACGGTTTGAGAGAAGCCCCTCTCCCACCACCCCCTATTAAAATCCACATCAGGGTGTAATTAATGACATCCCTAGCCAAAGTGTGTTATGTTAAATATGAAAGCGAGTTTTTGCACACTAAAGACATTTGTAATACTGTACTTTATTAAAAAAAATAACGACAAAGATCATTGTTAAACATACGTAATCTTCCGTAGAAAAAAACTAAACCATAGTTAACCACGACTCAACGATCACCAAGCATATTACTGAAGTGGTTTATTAACAAAACATATGCTACTTTTAGTATTTCTTAAACCTTTCTCAAGAACATTTTTTTGTGAAAACATGTGCGGCTCTTGGGGCATGGCACGTTCTGCTATATGACATCACGTGCTCAAAGATGTGGGGCACCCTTACACAACTGGACATTTAATAACAGCTAACTTGTTCTAATTTACCCTTGGTGCTTTTAAGGCAAGACATTATTATAGAAGAATAAAGCTGCAAAATGTCGATAACATTATAT